CTTATCTTCCAAAGATTGACTAGACTTGTCATCCATACTTTTATTCATTTTATTATTTGCTTTTGATGTCTTTTGATCTTCAAAACTTCTACTGATTTTGCCGCTTAATTTGTTGTCCAATTTTTTCGGTGATTTTGCAATAAAAACGTGGTCTTCTGCTTTACTATTAATTTTCGTTTCAATTATTATTTTATCACCCTCAGTTTTAACCAAAATTTTATCTTCCGGTGGTGGAAATGGTGGCAATGTATCTTTAACCGGACTTATTAATGTCTTAGTTTGTTTCAAAGCAGCTTCAAATAACATCTGCTGTTTCTCTTTACGTTTTGCTATCTCTGTGTCACTGTCTTCTTGAGATTTTGTCCTTTCTTTGCTGCTTCCCCGTTTAACATCCATTTTTTCTAAAGACTTTGATTTCTCCCTAGAAACTTTTCTTGCTATTTGTTCTAGTTCTTGGCTTTTCGCACGAGCAATATCGAGTGGGGGTACTGTTAAGAAATCTGGTCGCTCTTTTAGGGAAGAAGGTAGAGATTTTTGAGTTTGTAATGCTTTAACTTTCGTAGCATTTGTATCTAAAGAGCCAGCTTTATTCAATTTGCTGGTATTTTTCTGTTTTTCATCCGGTTTTGTCTTTAGTGTTAACTTTTTCTTTTCCTTACGTTTGATTCTTTCGATATCAGGAACAATTTGATCTTCACTTAGATCAGAAAGTTTTCTAATACTGCCTCTAGGTGAATTCAACGATGAAGTCGGTGATCTTGATGGTGACTTAGAAATAGGTGAACGAGATAATGGCGACTTACTAAGTGGGGACCGCGATGGCAATTTAGTCTGTGATTTCAGCTTAGTCAAATCGTATCTTCGTTTAAACGATCGAGGTCGTCGTTGTTCTACTAAATCTTCTAGCAATTGCAATTCCTCGTTATCTATTACTATAGACTTCATTTCTTCAGATTGATCAACTTGTTGCTCCTCCTCCACTTCTTCAATTTTTTCTATTGCATCTTTTTTAATAACTGTCAGTTTACTGCTTTTCTCTTCGATCAATGGTTTCTCTTCTAATATTACACCTTCCTCGTTTATATCTTCAACCGTATCATCTTTGGATGAGAATGCATTCATAGGTGGAAGTCTATGTAACTGAATAACAGGTGTATCCAAGCTCTTAGCTCGACGACCCGCTGTGGGCGAATCCTGAGTAGCTTTCTGTCGTTGCAATGAGAATACAGATCCTTCTGATAAGTTTAGTCTTGCATGTGCAAAAAGAATAGGTGTTCCTCCCTGTTTTCGCAACATTGGAGAAATCAATTCATCGCGCAAACTCTTTTTTATGTCAAGCTTATCCATTTTTTCTGTAATAGCATCGCTTTTTTCTTCGGATTGAGTGCGCACACCAGTCACTTTTTGTATTTCCATATCGGCCAGATGCTCATCATCTGATTTAAGGAATTCAGTACTTTCAAGTATAGGTGATGGTATATTTTCATTGTATTCCCACGGTGAGCTTTCTTTACTTATTTGTTTTACTTCAGGCACCTCAATAGCAACGTCATCTTCAGAACTTGGAATAGAAATTGAGCGTTCAGAAATGCGCCGTAGTTCAGTCGCGTTTCCAGATATACTTTCTAGAATTTGTGGATTATATTTCGCCTCGAGTTCTGCTAACTTACGACATTGCGGGGGAGACCCTTCGATTTCAGTCGAACTCATAGTTTGACCGCGATGCCAAGCTCCTGAAGTAATTTTATCATATTCAAGCTGCAAAATCGGTTCCAACTCTTTACGTGATTGCGGAGGAGAAAATTCAAGTTTAGGTGCTGCTTCCGTTGTGCCAAATACATCATCTGAATCAACACTTTCGTCATCCGACGAAAATGACGTAATTCGTATTTTATTATTATTTTTTGTTTTTATTTTTCCTCCAGTGCCCTTTTTCCCTGTACCGCGTCCTTTGGGTCCCCTTTTCGGAGGTATTTTTTCTGATTTTAACTTTATATCTGCTCGAAGTTTCTCCGCAGCTGTCATTGGTTTGGATTCTTTACATACTGGCGGTTGTTGAACATTACGTCCGTTTATAGCAAATTTAATATCATGCGTAAATTGAGGTTCCTGGGGAATACTGTCTGTTTTCGAACTTGTAGCAGAGTCACTCTCTATTTGACTTAATTTTGAATTCAAAGTTTCAAGCAATACAGGGTCTAGATTTTTAGTAATGTCTCTCTTTGGACTTGGCATATGTTGTAGTTGACCACTTTTATCAACTTCCAGGGTGACAGGATCTACTTTAGATAAATCTATATTTTGAGTAAATAAGAAATCACGGCTTTCCACTTCTAAAAATTTAGAACTATGCTCTGCCTGGATGCTGTTTCTCGGCGACTTGGGAGATTTCGGTGACTTTGGCGATTTAGGTGATTTCGGTGACTTGGGAGATTTAGGTGATTTGGGAGACTTGGGTGATCTGGGCGACTTTGGATGGTCATGGTATTTGCATCTGGGATGAGCGCTCACTATATGCCGACCATTTTGTGGAGGCAGCATTATGATATCAGGAGGCTGCTGTCTTTTGTCATCTATCGGCGACGGAGCGGTTCCATTCATCACATGCCTCTTGTGTAAAACATACGGAATATCATATCCGTCATCGACGACTTTCTTATTATCTTTGATACCGGCTTTGAACGCATCAAATTCTTTGAAATAGTTCTTCGGTAAATCGAATGGTGAACGCATGTGATCAGCATGCCTAGTGGGCAATTCGAAATGAGATCGCTTTGTTGCTATGGGTGGAGCACTTGGTATTTGCCGAAATATATAGTCTTCATCGCTAGATTCTGCTGGTGTAAGATCAATAGATTTTTGATGCATCAAGACGTGCCTGCGTGAATTCACGCTACTAAAGCGAGGTCTATTGGCAAGACTATTAGGATCACTTTTAGTTCTCTCAACCGTAGGATGAGCATAAGGTACTGCAGTGTCAGCTAGACGACTACTAGAACTAGTATCTAATATGAGCTTTGGATTATACTCATCAAAGTGAGTTTTAGCCATCAACTCCTCCTTCAAGTTTTCTTTTCTAACGATATGGGTATGGACTTTGCCTCGCATATTCTTATCGAATTCAGATTGTAAAATCGATGAAGTTGTAGACTGTGCAACCGCCGAAGCTTTGTTCACCTTATTTTTAGTATACTCGATGCTATCCATTGCTGGTAAAATACGGACATTAACGTCCGATTCGTTCGAAGACTCTTTTATAAGGTGAGATGTAGGAGGATTCTCTTTACTCGTGGAACGTGTCAGAGATTCAATCTTGTCTTTATCAAAACTGAATACCGTATCAGATGAGCGACGCCTTTGAAAATTGTGTATTTTAGAAATTCTACTATCGATTTCAGTGTCTAGGCCGGCAATTTTCTCTGGCCAGATGTGAGTCGTTGGATGCATATCTTCCTCCTCTGTAGAAATCTCATCAACTTTCTTAGGGGGACTCACATCTAAATAATGTCCATACAAATCAAAATCTACATTTTGTAAGCTAGCAGCATGCATGGGGCTAGTCTCTTTGTGCTTAGTGTTGCTTGGAAACGTCGAATAAGGTGTCGGTATGTGGTAGTAATTAGGTGAATTTGCAATATTTGCAATCAGATCCTCGTGAGACTTATCGAACAAGGTTCTTTCGTTGTACTCCGGCTTCTCCATACCAATAAAAGTGGGCTGGGTATCATAGTAATCTTTCTCAGAATCCGGACTGGACGACGGAGAAACAAGTTCAAACGGATCCATATAAGCATTTTGTATACTCGTCACGCTACGTCTACGCAAATTGATATCGTCAGGTTCGTAAAGATTCTTTTTACAGTCGTAATAATCCGATTTAGAATCCTGACTAGAGGTTCTAGAACCGGATCGGTCGGAACTCTTACTTTTTATAGTTTCACGCGACTTCTTACTATCGGTATGATACACGCTATCGCGGGATTTTTTGCTCGATTCCGCGCTACTCTTAGATATTTTAGAGTCATATATGTCACTAGTTCTAGACTCCTGGCTCGAGGTGCGGGATCCGAGCGCACGCTTGATTTCCTTGTAGAAACTACCGTCGGAGCGGACGGAAAGTTTCTCGCGAGGCAAGACGCGCGGGTCGTCGATGAGGAACGGATCGAGTGGTATGTCGTTGTCGCTGCGGTACTTACCGCCGCCTACGTCGAGCGGCACCTCGCGGTCGTCGCTCTCGGACATGCGCGAAAGCGAGCGGTCGTCGTCGGAGGGCAGGTCGTTCCCCGAGTCGAGCGAGCACGAGCGCGTGCGTGCCATGTCGACGCGGGGCCGCACGCGCGCGTATCGCCGCCGCTCCGACTCGTCGTCCGACCGCTCGATGACCTCGTAGCTGTCGTGCGACACGTCGTCCTGCGATCCGGTGCGGCCGAACGGCGCCACCTCCGGGTGCGGCTCGCCCACCGCGCCGGGGAAGCTGGACGAGTATGCGCGCCCGATCGTCTCCCGCTGCGAGTCGATCGAGCCGCGTTCGCCGAACACGAACGCGAGCGTGCGCGCGTCGTCGTACCGAGTGATGGGCGAGTCGACGCGGCGCGTGGGCGAGCCGTACGTGTGCAGGTTGGCGAGCGCACTGCGCGTGTCTCGGCGGCGCTTGGCGCGGCCGTGGTCGTCGAAGCTGAAGTCGCGCAAGTTCCGGCAGCTGGCGCTGCGCCGCCACGAGTGAAGTTGGGTCGGAGCCGGCGCCGCGTCGGAGCCGTCGTCGACCGCTAGCGAGCCGCCCGAGCGGCTGGAGCGCGCCGACGGGCAGGCGGAATACATGTTGGCCTGTGACAGCTCGTACTCGAGGCGCTCGGAGGAAGCGCGGAAGCTGGTGGAGTGTTTGGCGAGCACGAAGTCGGGGTAGCCGCTAGGGCCGGGCGCGGCGGCGGCAGGGCGCGGCGTGGGCGCGGCACGGGGCGGGGCCGGGGGCGGAGCCGGGTGGGGGGGCGAGGGGCGCGGACCTGGTGTGGGGGGCGGGAGGGGCGGGCGCGCCGCACGCGGTGGCGGAGAGGGTGCGCGCGCGGCCCCACTCGCGCACGACGTAATCGCCTGCCTCCATGTAATCTCCGGAGAATCCTGGACAACAAAACGATTTTCAAATCCCTGTCGTTGTTTAAATTAGGATGGTGTGGGAATAAAGTTGACGAAATCGTATTCAGCCCCTCGTTTAGAATATAAAAAAATATGAACACTTATTTTTTCTTTTCTAACCTAATAAGATAATTCGCATCAAAGTTTGGGAGTAGGGGGTCGTGATACGACGACTACTCACCAATGGTGTCCTCGTCCGATGAGGCGGAGGCGAATCCTCCGTAGGATGATGATTGACCTCTGCACGAGTCACCAGTTCGGGAGCCCCCTGCAAACAAAACGACCGTACTAACGATGATGAGCTACCGAAGACATCTCCTCCACATTCAGACTGGGCGCATTTATATAGTTTCCTGAATCGGTTATCTGATCAGTACCCTAAACACGAACCAATATCGAATTCGAATAGTTAAATTAAAAAAATAGGGTAGATGAATTCAGATTCGGTATTCTGGGAGCCTAGCGCAGACTTTTTGGTCTTTTTATTATATAAATTCCGAACCGAACGTTAGATTGTTTTCTATTCTGAAAAAATAAGAATAGTCTGCGCTTCTTTGAACAGTTTGTATGTATGGACGTACATTCAGGTCTCCGAATCGGAATTCCTGATCAGGAAACCGAATCAAGAAACCGCACATATGCGCCCAGCCTCAGAAAGAACCCAAGTGCCGGTGAGAATCGAAATGTGTCTGTGTAGTGATGAATGTGTGCACATGGACAGACAATTACCGTGTTTCCCCAAAGATGATGATGGCGGTTCGAATTCCAGCAAACTTTTTACGTTTCCGAACGAAACAGAATCGTTTCAAAATTCAATTCTGACTCTTTAACACTTAACACAATTGTAGATTCAGAGATTACACAATTCGAATCTGTTTCGAGCCACTGAGGATCTCTTAAAACTAACTACATCGACCGCTAGCATCACCTGAACAAAATTCAGATAAGTTCTAAATTATTTAAATGTGACTGTTTAGTTAGACTGTTAAATGTGACGTGTAACAATTATGAAAAACCCGTGAACCCTTTAGTAAGACCCAGTTGCCATGCAACAAGTTGTACAATAAAACAAGTTAATTTTTTATATATAAACGATAATGATCCATAAATAGCAAGAATCCACATTTCTTGGATAATATAATTTTTTTATTTAAAAACAAACATTAAATAAAGAATAAGGTAAGGAGTTTATCCAATTTTATTAAATAAGCAAAATCTTCAAAATTATAAATATGATTTTATTGTACAACAACGAAGATACTGGACTGAAGACTGTTAGGACTTAAACAATGGACATTAAGAGGTAATTAAAAATAGTAAAATTCTAGCGAGAGCCTTACGATTTCGCTGCAGTACAGTTTTGACAGCTGAAAGAGACAAACAAAATTCGTTTCTATTGTGAAAATAAACATAAGTAAGCAATAAGGCAAGGCGCTTTAGTATTTTTAATAATAGTTTTCTTTTTTTACTATTTGTCATAGCTACTTAGAAAAGATTAGAACTTGATCATTATAGGATATCAGTTTACAGGTTGGTGGTCCAATATTTACATAAAAAATCTATTTACTAAAAAAATATACTATATACACATAAGTAATTAGAAATGCGTTAGCTCAATCAAAAGCTATTGAAGCATTTAAATTGTGCTCTCAAAATTATCACTGAGTCGTCAGTTAATACACTAACATTTCTAAGATTCACATAGGTTTATGAAATCTAAATTACTTTTCTAACAAGTGAGGTTAACTTATTCTTCGCGAGTCGAGAGTGTCACCTGCGAGGTGTGGTGCGTTTGGAGCGGGTGTTGTCTACAGGTAACGGCATATTTCTTGAGTAAAACTTGCGCGAACAAATGAACTTGCGCGGTAGACTTTTTTGTTTTGTGGGTGCGGGAGGATGCGTGAGGTCACCTTGTCCCTCGTGGTGACATAGGCGGTAGCTGCGAGCGGCGGGCGAGTGCCTCCCTCCGAGGTGCGGCGCGTCTGCGAGCGGGCGCCGTCTACCTTGTACGGAGGGTGCGGGCGGGGAGTCACCTTGTCCCTCGTGGTGGCATAGGCGGTAGCTGCGAGCGGCGGGCGAGTGCCTCCCTCCGAGGTGCGGCGCGTCTGCGAGCGGGCGCCGTCTACCTTGTACGGAGGGTGCGGGCGGGGGGTCACCTTGTCCCTCGTGGTGGCATAGGCGGTAGCTGCGAGCGGCGGGCGAGTGCCTCCCTCCGAGGTGCGGCGCGTCTGCGAGCGGGCGCCGTCTACCTTGTACGGAGGGTGCGGGCGGGGGGTCACCTTGTCCCTCGTGGTGGCATAGGCGGTAGCTGCGAGCGGCGGGCGAGTGCCTCCCTCCGAGGTGCGACGCGTTTGCGAGCGGGCGCCGTCTACCTTGTACGGAGGATGCGGGCGGGGGGTCACCTTGTCCCTCGTGGTGACATAGGCGGTAGCTGCGAGCGGCAAGCGAGTGCCTCCCTCCGAGGTGCAGCGCGTCTGCGAGCGGGCGCCGTCTACCTTGTACGGAGGGTGCGGGCGGGGGGTCACCTTGTCCCTCGTGGTGGCATAGGCGGTAGCTGCGAGCGGCGGGCGAGTGCCTCCCTCCGAGGTGCGTCGTGTCTGCGAGCGAAGCGCTGCTGCGCGCGCCTCCTCCGCACTGTAGCCCTTCATCATCAGAGAGGCCTCCAGGTAGTGAGGTTGCTTGTCCCACTCCAGGGAAATCGCTGTATAAAAAACATATTTTGACATAACCGACGAATTCTTTAGAGTGGTAATTTTGGTAGTTTAAACTGAGCAAAGATGCTGCAGATAAATTCAATGATAAAAAGATAAATATCTAGTTGAACATAAAATAATCATTACTTAATCTGATCACACGCTTTAAATCCAACAATTATATTCTTAGCTATGTAAAATTTACACAAAAGTGCCCTGCCGTGTGGCCATCTCGGGCATTTTAGCACGGGACTGCGCGGGTAGGTGCTTTAAGGGTCCCACAGAACGAGGCTGTTCGCGGCCGCATCCAGCTCTTTTTAGTCGATCGTGTTTAAACACTCGCTTTCATTGCAAACGAATACAACTGGCCGTCACCCTTACCGTGGCCGCAGGCCACGTCTGTCTGTGAGACACTAAAAGCATTTTTAGCTTAAAGCACGCCACCTACATATAGTGCAATTCAAACTCAATGGCGGCTGTGAAGTTAGCGCAAATCGCGGCTCAGTAAATAAACTTTAGGTGCACCCAGTGTTTCAACATAGACAAAAAACAGAATGAACCAAGCGTTCCATGTCCAACTGCAAAGTAGTAGATGTGACAGACATGAAGAGATTGGACAGACCATAGTTCTTATAGGTTTTATCTCTTTATTCTCTCTTTCTGGAGAGTTTCAATTTCATGCAAGTGTAGTTCAATCCTTCCTGTATATCTATGGAATTCCGTTACTGAAACCTGCGCATATTTAAGGTCTTAGCCCACTTATACGACTCTGCTCAAACACTCCAACACCGCCAGCAGTCACCCAGCTGTCCACGCGCCGGTAGATAGCTGTGAGCAAATTATTTGGCCAGAATGGCCTATTAGCGGTCAGCGCGCGGACTACGCGCCGACCGCTTGCTTGCAACGCGTGATAAGCGAGGCGTCTACTACAGCGCTGTCTGACGGCGGTAAGTTCGCTGACTGTGAGCTGTCTGCTAATTTATGATGCCAATGTAAATATCTAAAGAGCAATGCTTAGGTCCACTTGCAGCACTTTTGCTAAATCTCAATTCAACTACAACTACATTTAGCCTATATAATGCTGTCAAATAGACATTGATGTTTTGACATTTTTCTATTGGTTAATTCTAGTTTTAGTTGGATCGACTTTAAGCAGATTAGCTGCAAGTGTGCCTTATAGGCTATATTTGAATTGTATTGTTTTTGCCGTGTGGGTGCAGAGGCGTGTCTGAAGTAGGCTAAGACCTTTAGGCTGTATACAGAAAGAAAACTGGAAGCCGAGTACCACAGGTACATAAAGGAAGCCGATTGAAGCCTAGTTGTTCATTAATTTCAAAGGCCGGTGCCAGCGCTGACCAGCGCGTGTCGGCACTTGTCGGCGACGTTCGGCGCTTATCGGGGCCGGTCGATAGAAATGCCTCCGCCGATTACCGGTAAGGACCAGAGCTGCTAGGCGCTGCTAAGCGCTGACAAGCGCTGGTCTGCTTCCAGCTTTCTTTCTGTATACGGCCTTACGCTCGCCACGGAGCTCTCAACCTCCACAGAGTTATGGCACCGTACGTACCATCGGAGCCGGGCGGCAGCGGCAGCAGCGGGTGCGCGGAGAGGCTGGCGTTGAGCGGCGTCGGCGCGGCGACGGAGGCGCGCGACCCGCCCGCAGACCGCGACGCGCGGAACGAGCCCGACCTGCGACACCGCCCAGAGGATGGTGAGCCCGTGCAACGTTATACCCGTACCCATATACAACAACAAGTGCTTTTGGTTTCGTCCGCGCGCTAACCGACTACCAAGATTTAGTTTTACGAGCGATGTTGACAGCGAACCGACGCTCCGACGCTATATAGAAGGCACGGGGCTACGCAGTATTATAATGACCGAGACGCACTACTGCACCTATGTAATCAACGCAATTTCATAACAAACCGGATAAATGTCTGTGATTTATGGTTTCTTTTTATTAAATGAATTATAAATAGGGTATTTGACAAGTTTTAGAAAACGATCTCACGTTATGTTTATGGAGTCCATAAAAGTAGATAATCACCATTTTGTTGTATATTTCAGTAAGAAAAAACTAAACCCAAATTCCATTTTCAAAGTGGCTCGAAAACATCCCTTTAGGCATTATGGCGTCCACTACTATGTGACGTCACACTACAGTCATTGAAACGTCATAAGATACAATATGTCACTTTGACTGGAAATTAACTAGCGTGTGACGTCATTTTAGTCTCCACCAATCCCAGTTGTTTTCGGTCACTTAACTATAGAACAAAAAAATCATTTCTATTTAATGATCTTTTAGACAATTTATTAATTATTCGTTCTCCCAGATTAGTAAAATCACTGCTAATATTCATATCAAATACAGATGCCAACAATTGGTACTTTATTTTACATACTGCCAAATAGCTTATCGTAATGGTTGTTTATAAAAAAATTAATATAAAATTTAATATATACAAATGAAAATGAAACACCGAAATTTAGGTACGCGCATTACTTTTAAAGTACTGCACCAAATTGGATAATTTATTTTTTATACTATTGTTGTCAGGTTGTGTAAAAGGAAACTTTTTTGAAAAATCGTTTGCCGGTTCAGCTAATTTCAAATAAAATCGACGCTTAGCTAACTACACGTTACCACCTAAACCTTATTTAAACTACGCTAACGAACCAGCGCTCCGAAGATGCAGAATATGGGAATCTAAATATTGAATTTCAATAAAAATCGACGCTATCTTATAAGTAAAAAATATTATTTGATTGTTAAACTGGTATCGAGCCGTCGAGCGCTTTGATGCTTTCTAAAGAAGTGGTTTTCTATTATTTAGTTGGCATATTTAGGGGGCTGAACATTGGATTGGCTATTGCAATTATCAAGCCTGCGCTCTCACGCTTCCTTATTGTGTCAAGTAGACGGGTTTATTCATTATAGATGGGTAGATTACAAAGAATTTGCTATTTATGTTATCGATACGGCGCTCCGTCGTCATATTTTTATCATTTGTGTAAATAAAAATGGAGACATGACGATTTAACTTGATATTAGCATCATCGAACAAAACTGTGTCGTTCGTGCTTCTTACTATTGATCAATTTCGCAGTACAGCGAACACAAGTCGAATATTGAATAAACGACTACTAAAATTTTGGTTCAAATAAAATAATAATGCGACTACTTATTTCATGAGAGCATCGATAAATATCAAACATTATTATATTATAATTAAAATATATTATTAAAACTTATTATGTAATTAATACATAATCATCGCATTAACGCAGTTGCTTCATTTTGTCAGTAAATGATAACCAACAGGGATTTTGATAATACAGTTGCCGCCTATTTTTAAAACAATTGTGTTTGTAATTAAACTGCAAGTAATAGCCAATTATAATGGCAAAATTACTGTAACGTCGATACAAAACATATCATTTCACAAAAAATTAAATCAAGATATGATTATTACTCATTTTTATATAATACCACTATAGAAACAAGTACATATGTATTAAAAGCATCGCTGACTCATAAGCTGACAATCAATTACATTACACGGTATACATAAAATAAGGTTTTTTTAAATACACTTTAATTATTAATTAAAGACGAATAAAAGGTTTGAAAGGCTCTGTTAAAAATCGTGTCGTATTCTTAAAATATTAAGACAGACCAACTATAAAAGAAAGTAAGAAATACATTCTCGAGAAATATCCACAATCGAGCACTGGGGAGACACGGGGGTGACTCAAACACAATACGGTGCAGGCAGGATGTTGCACTTTAGCTATATAGGAACCGTCAATCTGCTTACACCAACAACGGGCGAGAGTTGCGAGTGCACGTTAACAACGTAACGGGGCTAAACAAGTTTGAGATACTAACCACACGGTGTCAAAGTGATATAAACAATTCAAGTGCTCGTGATACGTCTATATTTTAGTAATACAAAAGTAACTGTTGAAACTCTTCGCTTCCGGAAGCACAGGGAGTGAGTTAAGGTACGTGACGCCGCTAACGGCTGCGGCGACGGAGCGTAGACTTTTTAGCGCGGAAAAAACAACCCTATTTTGATAATAATAAGAACGAGCACACCATCCTCCGAACTAATGTCGCCGGCCGACTCAACCACTCGATATAATTACTTTTTGGAAGAAGCGAAAGTCTCAACGTATACAGCGCATGCTCGAGAATGCTAATCACCATTGATATAATACAAAAACTATTCGAAGCCTCCTCTCTAACCAGTCGGTAGTAGTTAGTCGTTTTTAAGGGACTTTTGTACTTTTTCATGCAAAGGTTACCGGAGTCCGTTCTGTTATCTCTCACACGAACGCCCACAAGACAAAACCAAAAGCTATAGTTCCCCGGCCCATGCTGACCACTCACCGTTCTCGGACTTAAACTACCTTAATTTATGGACATTAGATATGCCTAGCTTAAACTAAACAGTACTTAGTCAAACACAGTTCAAAGATACGAGACTATGTACATATAGAAGCGTGTCTAACTACGAGGTAGTTAAGGGAAGTGTCGCTAAACTACACCCGGCATGCGAATGGGCGCGAAAGCTATACATCCGCTTACCTTTGGAATGTCTGTCGTTTCACGTAGTTGTCTCTGACGAATTCTACTATTTGCTTCTGCGTTTTACCGCTATACCTGTAACGAAACATAACATTGTAACATACAGCTTTGTAAAATTAACACAATTACAGTAAAATGATTCTATAACAATTAGGGGTACCGAGAACAGAACACAGAAAGAGGTTAGTAGGTGATTATAGACAGTGTGTACGGGAACCGACGTCGCCAGCTTGCCCCCACTACACTTTCACCTAATAGATATTGGCCAATCTAATTTTGGTCAAGTTATGAGTATTTGCTCACACATTACTGTGGGACGCCTGCCCCGCCCACAGGGCCCTTCTAAACTATTTCTGTGTTGTGATACCTAGAAAAATACAAACTTTATATTTTATCCAGCTCGAAGGACCAAAATATTTTTCTTATACCCATTCTTTCAAAAAAACACCATAACTTAAAAAATAAATGATATATAACAATCTTGCCTAAAAGACGAGCCTCTGGATATGACCCTGGTCTTGTGCCTGGGCAGTCGCGGCACGCTGGAGCATCGAAAGAAGCCGTGATTTTCCACACACTTTTTCCAAAAGTTCTTACACTCGTTTCGACCCTCAAAGAAGAACTCGACAACGTCCCGGTATGCACCCTAGTGAAAACATATACAAGTTAAAAATTAAAATATATAATGAAATATAATGGAAAATATAATAATTTATTTTATTTTTTATATAGCCAAATGAGTCTACTCTACCTGATGTTAAGTGGGGATAGTCATGTTTAGTTCTGCTTATAAAGTTGGCCGTGATAAAGTATAAAGACTTTTAAAAAATAAGCTGCAATATAAACAGCAGCTAACAATATGATCTCACTAGTTCTCTAAGAAAAAACAAACTTTTACCATTCAAAAGATCAAATTATTACGATAATCGTGTTAGTTTACACAGTATGTAGTATAGGACAGTGACTATATGAGCGTGTTTATAACAAAACACAAATGAGTGTATAGTTCCTCTATCAAACAATATCAAGAAAAACTATCAAACTTGAATCGTCAAGAAGAATAAAAAAAAACTTACATAACCCTCCGGGTGAAGTTTAATGAGAAACTTCTTCCTCTTGAAGGAGATCTTGCGTATTTTAGCCCAGCTGAAGGTATTGATCTTGGTGAAGTTCTGGAACACCACGATGCCCATGTGCGCCACGGCCAGGTTTAGGGGCACGCTATCGTGGTCCTTGGCCGGATGCATTTTTATACCTAGGGCCATTAACACATGCGACAACGATCTTTATGAATGTGGTTACAGTTCAGTACCCTTAGCACGCACCATTATCAAATTCGAATAGTGATTTTTAGTTCTAGTTACGTCCGTTGTGGCGCTGCTGTTCAAGTTTCCATACAAAATTTGACAATGACATTCCGGACTCGCAAACTATATGAATTCGATATTGGTTCGTGCTAAGGGTACAGTAAGGGCGCCACTGTCTACGTTAATGACATACAAAATGTGACGTTTACAAAGAGGGCAAAATTAGTTCCAATTTTTGTCACATTCATAAAGATCCTTGTCGCACTATATTCACCTCCTTTTAATTCCTAGGGGTGTTACGAAAGTATAATTCAAGACGCGATCATTGGTTACATAACGTGTGCATTTTAATACCTAGGGGCGTAGACACAGTTTTGTTTACGTAACAATTCATTAATATAAATGCTTGGGAACGTAAAACCTGAATGATCTTCCAAAGTGGGATAAATCCTCTATACAGGGCGTGCCACGGCCATGCCACAAGGAGAAAAAGTTTATTTTATAAAGGATGTTATACTTAAAGGAAACATCATTTTATATTAGTAGAACTGCATTCACAGTTATTTCAAAAATCGCCTGCCACAACCGGAAATAAAACTCAAGTGAAACAACAAAATAACCTGTATTAACGCCGAAAGGGTTAATCATATTCATTATTTTTCCCTAAATAACATAGCAGTTTAAATGAAATCCAAACCATGAATTAATATTTTATTTAAAACAATTGAACATAAACGAAAATAAAAATTAAACAGTGCATTTTTTTTATCAATGTATCTAATGTTCAAAATGTTATAAATTCTACAGTATACAAATTCTCACTCTTCTAATAATCTCTCTGCCTGTCGATTACCTTAACTTTGAAATAATATGTCTAAATACATTTTGTGACTCCTGCACAATCGTACCGGATCTTGTAAACTAAATCTTTTACATAACCCCACGAAAATCCAGGCACATTGTAATGTGACTTTCACAAAGGAATGCATACAAGTACCTAATACAGTTTGTATAAGTATCGCTTTATTCATTTTTTCACGTATTTATAATAATGAAATCTTGTTTTATTAAGTGAGTATGTAGTATATAGTTTGTAAATACTTTCAAATGATAATGTTAGTTGTTAGAAGCACGGAAAAGACATAACTTTTTAGGAAAAAATAATCCTTATGGTTAGCGTTTCGACGTTTATCATAAAACACGACATGTGCTTCTTTTTCACATTTCACGGGTTTGATTCCCGGTTCTGTCAGGTGATTCTAAAAAACTCAGTGAATGCAGTTCTACTTATTAAATAAATAATGTCTTCTTTCAGTAAACATCCTATCTTCAATATTCAATATACTTTCCTTCCTGTGTAGCATGGCCGAGGGACGCCCTGTATATTATGCTAATGGACCTAATAAAACGAGTATGATACGAAAGTTTGTTGTTTTACATTTCTAGACTAGCCAAATAATATTTATTCAGTGAATTTAATCTACCAGTTTTACATCATTACAAAAAGTATTTGAATGTAAAGAAAATTTTACTAGCAAAAATTCCTCGCGGACCAGGCAGCAGACAGGACTCGAACTAGCATCCTCCGCTATCCGGGCGAATGCACTAAATAAGTTAAATGCTTAAAAAATCCAAAAATATAATAAATATTTGGTCAAACTTACCATATAATTCACATCTCCTAGCGGTTTCTAATAAATTTAAATCTGCTTCTGCAGGACTTTGACCTCTGCGAAAAAAATAACAAGTGTAAAAATCGTCTATGACTAAAAAAAACAAATATTCAAGTCATAGAAACTTTAAAGTGTTATTTACTTCTTCATTAATTAATTCTCTAAAAGAATGAGCAGTTAAAAACAGTTATTAAATTAGATTCAATATGACTTTTAAATCCAATTTATAAATAACGCATTAGAACAAACGCGGATTATTTTCTAAAATTAGGCACGATATTTAGACCAACTCACATGTGTTTCTTATGGTTCTCCATGATCCGTCGTTCGGACTCGGAGTCCTGGCCGGGGAAGAACTTGTACCCGCTGAGGTACGTGTGATCGGGGTAGTCTTCGGGCACGAAGTCCCCGCACTCGGCTAGCGACAAACGAAAAAGTAGCTTTTAATGCATGTTGATCGACAAGTGAAACTTTAGGACATTCGGAGCTTATTCGTCTTTTAATATCCTGACTGCTGGGGCACTGGCCATCCCTATTTGTGGAATAGGAAAAATGGATCATTGACGTTGGTTGGGCGTTTTATTATGTGTGAGTTTTTTTTTACATCAACAATGTTCGCATTTGGCTTTCGGATTTGCAATATGCTTGCTGACGCCACCTAGTGTTCGATCTGCGAATCTGTCCAGATGGCAGATATGTGGGTACTGCGAATATTGTTATGCGCGGGTACTGAAACTTAATAACGGTCGTTGGCTCGTCATTTCCAACGGCCGCTCTCTGCTGTTTCGCGTTCGGTGCAGATCTGTCGTACGCACATATCATATTAACACGCATCGCGTAGAACATTTCGACCACACCCAGAGGCAGAAAGAAAGAGCTGCTTCGGCTGTGCCAGGTGAGTCGTTGGTGGCATTGTGCCTATTGTTTCATTGTTGATGTTTTTCCGAGTGTCCAAACAGCTCGTACATAATAATTCGGCCGCCACAAACTTATATTGTCAAACCCGCATCCAGGGAATGGCTATTTACACGCCATACCAGACGTTTCGCATTCTTTGCAGAAAAGCGTCGTTGGGACGAAAACAATGTTCCTGCAAAGAATGCGAAACGTCAATAAATAAATAAAATCAGTGCAACTAACCCATTGAAACTTGTTTTATTAAATGAGTCATGTGCGTGAAAACCTAAGAAACAAATAGACTGTAGGTAGAGAAAACTGGGACCAATGGCTTAACGTGCTTTCGGTAACACGGGAGGAGCTTAAGAAGCTCGTAATCTATGTAGCCGATATAAAAATAAGCATTCACCCATTCTATGAACATTCATTACGAAAGTTGTTTAACTTCTGAAATCGCTGACCAACCACGCTTACCACTTGCACCATCCATATGCTCAATGGGGAGTTTATTAATACCGTTATATTGATTGATAGATTCCCATGCCGGTCTAGAAGTCAAGGTGAAAATAATGCACTTCGACAGATCTGTAATCGTATCGTCGTCGTAAAATTTTGTATGGAAGAAGCCAGTTTATCATCGTCATCAGCCTATTCATGTCCCCACTACTGAGGCTCTGGCCTGCCCTATGGATGGAATAGAGAGATTGGGTCATTGACAAACTACGCGGGCCCAGTGCGAATTGGCGGGTGCTAAAGACTGCAGATGCAGCTGAGACCAACGGCTTAAAGTGCCTTCCAAAGCACGGAGAAACTCGAGATAGAAGATTTTTGGTCAACCATCCAATGACCGACCACTGCGAAAGTTGCTTAACTTCAACGATCGCAGCCGAACGCGCTAACCACCCACGCCATCAACTCCTCATAGAGTTTTCATAGAAACTGAAAAAGATCGTGCTCGCGCCTAAAGATAGTAAGTTTGTCAATAGACTGGATAACCTCGAAACTGTTCAGGCGATAGCCTGGCAACCCGTCACTATATTTTCGAAAACTTCCTAAGTATATTAGACTAAAGCCAATTGTGGCGACGTCAAATTGGGTTATAAATGAGAGTAATGTGCTAGCTCACACAAAGATAGCCTTTAAATACCTCCGCGTCAAGCCTAAACGCTTTGTACGCTACCCCGTACATTGTCTTTAAATAAATTCAATGAAAATCCTAGTTTGACTGCGTGAATATACAAGCTCCCGTCTCCTAAGGGACACAGTGGCCGCTCAACTATGAATGGCCCGTTAGATATTTATGACTAGCGAGCCTGCACGTCCATGTTATTAAATATTATGCCTCCACTGAAATAAGTAGGACGTAGAGTTATAGCGATAACTTAGATGTGACGCAAGTCTCTCATATATTTCCCTAAACAAATCTGTCCAAGAAAAAATTTTTTTTCGTGTATGATCAAGTAATATTACATCTTTTATATTTTTAATAGTCCCTAAATAAATAGAGCTTATAGTATAACAACTTAATCTAATATATAAAATTCTCGTGTATCTGTTTGCAACAAAACTCCCCCGAAACGGCTTGACCGACTCTTATGAAATTTTGTGTCTATATTAAGTAAGCCCGAGAATAAGACGTTAACTATTTTCCATACTGGTAAGTGATAAGGGTGGTCCACAAAAAAATACATACAACTACCCTAAATTTTCACCCTTCTATCATCAACCCCTATTTTTATGGCGGGACATAGATTGATAGAATTAACACTTTATTATAACACCAAATACATAATTACAAAACATTCACAATCAATAAACTTAACAAAAGCGTTATAATTGGTGGTCTCATCGCTAAGAGCGATTTCTTCCAGGCAACCACTGAGTATGAAAAGTTATGTAGAAACCATAGGTTGGTGTGTTATATGGCTTGGAATAAAAAGTCACATCCACACATACAATCTTCATCAAATCTATGTATTCTAATTAAATATATACATTTATTACCATATAAACACACTTACACATACACATGTATACATAAACAACATATATACGATAAATATTTTACACACTGGGATCATAGTTGGCTAAGTCAGCTAGTAACATATAAAATACATTTAATTATAAAAACAGGACTATGACTCAACAACACAACTACCAAAGGGTCATCAATACATCAGTCTTCTTTTAATTCTCAAAAGTAGGAGCCTTACCTTGCACGATGTAGCTGGCCATCAGCGCGGCGGTATTCTCGTTGCACTGTATGCAGCCGTGCGCTAGGTCGCGCTTAACCTAAAAACAAACAATAAAAAATATAAAAACTAATTACAAACGATCAAATGCGAGTCCGTTTCGCACACGAACGGGTACGTTCACACACCGCAAAACTACTTGAGCAACAACCATAGACAAGGAAGCGTACGCAATAGCAATTTTTCGTACAAAAACGTCTATTGCGCGAGTTTATTTGTCTGTGATTTTGTTCAAGAAGTTTTTTTTATTATGTGATGCTATAATGAAAACATAATGGCGGTTGTGAAGTTAGCAGCAAGCGCAACTATGCGCAGATTTCAGTTCATTGTCATCACACACGCGCATACATCACCCTACATTTCGTTTACTGCGCCGCGACTCGCGCTAACTTCACAACGGGCATAAATTTTGAATCGCATATACCTGCAGACAAAACAGGTAGCGCGTGAACTCCTCCTCGAGCCGCGCGGGGTCCGGCGTGTAGAACTTCACGCAGAACCGCAGCGACGGCTCCAGCATGGAGAGCCCTAGTTGACGGCACATAGGCTTCTCCACGTCCAGCCAGTACTGCGGACAACACAAGGTGTCAATATAATTGTCTTTTTCAAACAGAAAAACTAGATTTTATAATTTTTATATTATAACATGTAACTGTTCGATCTTTAAATCTAAAGAAAACATTATTAGAAAAAAAACCACGCGGACCAGGCAGCAGATGGGACACGAACCCGCAACTTTCGCTATCCGGGCGAATGCACTGACCATTATGCTACCGCGGCCCTGATAGTGTGTGCCCGCAGTATCGAATTCTTTCTAGCCTTTCTTTAACTGCAAGGCAGCGCCATCTCTTCACATTGTAGATAACCCACAATGTCAAATAAATACCTATACATACAATTTGAAGGACGAAATAGCAATTATGGTTATAATTTTTATCCCGTCGTCATGGATTTTTGATAGTAATATTTTCTTTAGATTTAAACTAGTTTTTACCTATTACGGCCTGCGCAGACGAATGTCTTTTGTCCGCAGAGGAAAAAAGTCCCTGAATCGTGAAAAAATGTCTGCCGATGACATAACGACGCGACGGTGTGAGAACATTTGTTAAAAAAATTGAGAAACGCAAGCTACGGAAGATGTTTGCATTCTCAGATTAAGTTGTGTACTAATTAACACGAAGTTTAAGAAAAAGAGAAGACATTTTAAAAGAATACTTTAAATAGGATTGAGTGCGCAACGCGGGCTAAAGCTGTTGCTGAGCCTTGCAGTCTATTATTCCATGCAGTCGTAGTCTAGTCTTTTTTTGGCGGACATAAAGTCAAAGGACAAAAGTCTCTCGTCTGCGCAGGCCATTGCGGTTCATTACAGAAACGGAATGACTAACAACGAATGTTTAGTAATAGATTGCCATTGTCACTCTTTGGCTAGGAAACATAAAGTCTTGGAGCATTAAATATTTTTTTTATTAAATCAAAATTAAAGGACAATGGCGAAATAGTCTGGAATTAAAAACTTAAAAAAAGGGAAACACAATTGACTATTTATTTTTTATTTTTATTGTGGCTTGGCCATGATGGCTTTTGAGCCATTCATTTTAAGTGATTTTAGTGATGAAATCAACTTTAAATATGTTGTTCGTATGTTTTGCATCGCTTTACGCTTGAACTGTGTTTAATTATCTATCAAAAATATCGGGAAACATTATTTTTCAATATTATACTGAAACCATATTAAATAATCTCCACAATACAAAAAGAGTATGGCGACAATTCTAACGAAAAAAAACTATAACTGTCACTGTCATGCTTGTCATCGAATTGTTGTTGTTATTGTTATCATTATATAACATTGTTTGTGCTTAGGTGCATGCATATTGCAAAGATTTCAATCGGCGTATTGTGTTTTCTGAGATTTGTTTTTGACGTGACAACGTCTTAAATTAGGTTGCGGCTGGGAGTCACTTATGAAAAAGTGTAACGCTCGGTAACGTTACGATGAGTCTCTCGTGTTAAGTTTAAGTTTACATGTACAATGTTTTAGTAAACAAAATATATTTCTATAGTTAAAATTTGTGCAATTCTTATTTTCATTCAATTCCTTGTTCCTATTGTGCAATTTAATTATATTCATATCAATAAATATTCTACCGAGAAAAAGACGTTGTCACGTAAAATCTTCGCCCGTAAAACCGACTTTACAGGCAACCATTTTTTTATGTGACTTGGACTGTATTTGGACTTTCGAAATCTTTCTCTGCGACTGTTGAGTAGTGCTTGCCTAAGACTTCCGAATCTGATATTTTGCTGTGGATTTTGGACGATTCTGTCCCATACTGTGGATTTTATTTCATTGTATCTACTATCTACGATATTGTGATCAACGATATGAAATAAAAAATATATAAAAAGTGTTGCATATTTAATTAATATCCCATTAGTACATTATTAGAAATCCTTTTTTATACTTTATTATTGCAGTGGGCATTTTCAAATTGTTAAGTACTTCTTACAGCACAGGCATTGTATTTGATCTCAATAACTCTTGTCTGATAATAAAAAATAAAATAAAATAAAATAAGTATTTTGACGCGGTTGGTCAGTACCTACGCCAAAGAAAGAAAGAAAGAAAGCCAACTGATCATACATTGTAAAAAACATTTTTTTTCGTCACTAATCTTCAGGACCGGTATACTTCTATAGTTCCGTTCCACGTATTTTTTATTTTGATATAAAAGTACTCTTGAAAATACTTTTATAATTTGTTTTTGCATTACTTGGTAGGAAATAACCTCCAAAACTTCAAAGTAGAATATCTATAAATCCAGACTTCCTATAATATAAGAAATAAGATGAATCAAATCAAGAATGTAAACTCTATAATTTAACATGCAATTCATTTATAGACGCAAGAAAAAATTTCAACAAAAAATTGTATGTGAGTACGCCATTGTTCTTTATGCCTCAGTCCATCTTTTTTAAATTGAAATAGTGTTTACAATAATAAAGTGATGTGTTGAACTAGATTAAATTTGAATTTTATAAATGAAGAACACATATCTATCAAAGATCGCTTACAATATTCATACAGGACTGGAATCTGGACACTGCAAACATTGTGTTGATAAATCAGATTTATGTTATTAATAATGTTACCTACCCTCGTCCCGTTGGCGTCTTGGTACTCCAGACCGAAGTAATCTGCCTCCAAAAGATGCAGCTGTCGGCATACCTGGTCGAACAGCACACGCCCCAGAGCCTTCGACTGCAACAAACCATTCAATCATCATTAATCAGCTCCATTTCATGTAGTAATAAATATAAAATATGTACCACGAACCCTGAAACCTATAAAAACCGACCGACTATGATGACGGGAGAAACCAAACTAAATACTGTTTAGTCCGTCGGTAAGATTATTAAAAAATAATAGACACCTATTTTTTCTTTTGTCAATCAACCAAAAAATGACAAAGATAAAGCGATACAAAGTTCGGGAGGGGGGGCTAGTGACGTCAAGCACATCTAAGTAAAAATTGTAGCAAGACGTGACGTCTCGAGACATTTCAAATCAATATATCTCTGTAATGCTTTGATTATGTGAAAAAAGAAAAAATACGTGTCCAATACTATTTGTTAATCTACCTGACAGACGAAGAAAAAAAAGTTAGTCATTATCCCTATTATTAGTAGGGCTAACTTTCTAAGAGCCTCCAAATAAACAGCCTTTGGGCACGGAATTAAAAATAACTCGGATCAGATAAAACCTTTGTATATAAATTAAACCAGGCTTTCGAGTAACCTTTGATTGACATATTAATTAATAGTAAAGGGTGTCCGTTGGCTTATATTACTTTGAATCCAGTTTAATAGTACTATTTTGCAAACATGTTTCCACTACATACATTATTGCAACTACCACGTGATAAATAAGCTAGGTACTAAATCTTGTGAACGGATTCATAGCAGAGCTAGAGATCGATTCTACTATTTAAACATTAAAACATAAAATCTCTCATCATTGTTTACAGATAAGGACTAAACAGTCCTAGCCAATAAGAAATACGAAGTCGCGTTGTGCTTACAGGAAAAATAGTCATATAAAGTCTTGTGATATTGCAGATTTGTGAAGTTCTGCCAATCAACCCCTTGCAGCATAAGTGTGAACCTATAAACCCTTTTGGAATAGTAACGCAGTTTTTGACCCTTTTCATCGAATTACATAATATGTCATTTGTTTGGGTGGTGTGAACAAAATATTTCGATTGCGATAAATAAATGACTGGTTGGGGAGTATCCACCTATGGAAAGGTAAAATGGAATTAGTTTGTTTAGGTGCATTGTTGTTCCTGAATATTGGTGCGCTCGAATCCAATGCGGATTAGTTGCAGGCAGCAAACCTACTGGATCTGGGCAAGCAATTAGTAAGTTTTTCAGAAATAAAAGTAAACTGTAAATCTACTCTTGATTTGGTATCAAGCTATTATCGAAGTAAGTAGATACCTACTGTAACCTACAGTACTGCAATTCAAGGGAGCCCCAGGGGGTCTAAAATAGCAACATGTATAAAACGTCTAAAATTCAAATTCTTATGTGATTACTCCTCCAATATATAAGTAATGCCTGTTTCATGTATGAATTCTTTAAGATGCTATTAATAATAATATCTCATATAAGTGTTAATTTAACACATTCCCATAAAAATGTGGCAAAGTAGATATTTCATTATAATTTTTGTACATTCGCCCGGATAGCGATGGGTGGGGGTTCGAGTCTTGTCTGCTGCCTGGTCCACGTGGAATTTTTCCTAGTAACATTTTCTTTAGACATTCCATTTTGATCAAAATAATAAACTCGCTATTTTAGACACGCTGATCACAACACAACTGCTAGGGGCACCACGTTACACCTTAACCGTCACTGCTTGGGCATCGGAAGAGCAGTTAAATCGTAGTGGAATCGGCGGAAATCGCTCTGCCATCGCAAACACGGCCACGATTGCGGCCATTCTTATACAATACAAATCTGTCAAACAGACGTATCATTTCATTTAATGTTCATTTGGATCAAAATATCAAACAAATGCAATCCCTCTATTTTAGACCCCCTGATCCTGATCACATTTTGCTAAGGGCCCCACACGGGGGCAGTATTGGCTTAGGAAGAGCAGTTTAATCGCAGTGGAATCGGCGGAGATCGCAGTCGCGATTGCATGCGAACTTAAACGCAAATACGCGACCTCGACTGCGGCCGCGCTCAGCGACCCGTGCGAGCGAGGGGCGGGTGGATTAACTACGCGTCGACCTATGCTAGCCGTATTGGTGATTTGAATTCGCATCGATAAATACGGTGTGCATTTCATATTTTATGATGACGTAATAATTCAACGTTTGTTCGTATAGAAAACACTGATTGGTTTCCTTGGTCGAACGATTCGTGAATGTAATTAATTTTATAGTTGACTGTCAGTGCTGTTATATTTGTAGTATAGGTGCAGAGTAGAAGGTCTATAACAGGACACTTAACCGCTAATATTCCACCACAAACGCTTAGCAAATCAAGTTGTAAAGTGAGTAGATTAGATAGTGATAATATATGAGATTATATTAAAAATTAATTAGTAATGCTACTCGAGTTAGCATTTATCATGAACAGCCTAACTACAAATTGAAGCACTTCTGCAGCCCATAAGTTTTATCGAAGAGAATAGTCTCTTCCTTTATGCTTCTTGGTAGCGCTAACGACTGCAGCATGCCTACTCGGAAAGTTCATAAACGAAATTCCGAATGATTCTGATTCGTTCCTTCGAGTCTGCAAGTGCCAAGCCTACAGAAAGGAGAGTACCTACGAAGGACTGATAAGAATTGCAAAATCGATTTGGAATTACCCAAGCTAGTTTTTAAGTAAGTCTACCTATCCCATCGACCCGGTAAACAGTTTCATCTCAGGTCTTCAGAAGTTCGGATATCTCGGACCGGCTTAGATTGACCACAAAATACGAGTAGTGTATAAGAGGTCTGCATAATATCAATACAGCAATTGCTATAAAGTACAATACATGAAACAAAGCTAACGTACGAATTGAACAAACCACAGATTTTATGAACGTGCGTGGGTAGAATTCATAGAGCGAGCGGGCCGATCACGGACTCCTAACCTATTTAGGTAATCTTTGAACGAGCCCAAGTTACATTAGCTGGATGGAACCAATTAATGGCGATGCGATGACGTAACACAAGTACATTTAAAGGCAAATCAATTCGGTCACCGTTACTCCCAATACATACATTTCAAAAGCTCATAGTTGTTTTTAAGAGAACGAAGTAAACTTATGCATTAAGCAGATATAATAGTAAGCTTTTCTAATAACACCTAAATGTTTTCACAGAAAGCATCGCGCTAAGTGTATTTTCGGGTAGGGAAAATTGCCAAGAGACTCATGGAAGGGAAAGGATTACAAATCATGCAGTCTTTAGGGACAATCTTAATGGAATGTGAACTAGTTAAAGGCACTTGACAGATAAGTGTAACGTTGAATGCGTTGTGGCTATTTAATGCCGCTCCTATACACTAAATATAAAATTCATTGTTATTATATATCTATATCCTAAATGATGTAATGGAAGGTGACTTCAGAAGTATCACTGAAGTCATTCTTCAACTTGACGACTCTGTATATATCAATACAGGGAGAAAAAAGCAGCCCTTGCTGAGAATCTTGCCGGTTCTTCTCAGTACAAGGTCTGCTGCCGTAGTTTTGCGTAGCTTCTTGACCTTCACAAGTGCTTGTAACAGCTTAGACTGAATAAATGACATTTCATTTCAGTAACAAAGATAAAAGAGGTTCTTTGTAAATTAAGAAACATGTGGCCGAAAATAATAGAAAATGGCTAAGTACATCTGAGAAATCTGTAATAAACTTACGGAAGCCTGCGTTAAGCTTTCTTGGTCGCCCCTTACACCAACCGCTCATTTATTTTAATCAAAGTACGTACGTGGGCGCGTCCTACCCAAGATTTTAGAACTCCTTTGCGGATAGAAAAGCTACGCTGATGAGCTTGTCAAGGAAATGCGATGATAAGATAACATGCCAAGACTTAATAGTCAACGCTATCGTCGAGTACCTAATTTAAATGTGTCAGTTAATCTTTGATAAAGTATCAAGAAATCTGAAATCAAGTCTTATGTCATATCTTATCCATATCTCTATCAAATTTAACAAATCTGGAGGCAATTGTTGTAATAATCATGCCTGTAATAATCAGTTTAAACTTTAAAGTAGCAGCCGTATATGGTAGGACAGGTTTAAAGTTAAATAAAAAAATGTCTACCCCAATGGCCAACCCTATCCAACAATAGAAACCAGTATATTTTCTAATTTCACACTAAAAATTTTGGTTACTCTGTCTACAAGTTTATACCGATTTCAAAATAAATTTAATTATCACATAGACACTAATATATAACGAAGAACCTGCTCCAACTTCATTTAAAAAAAACAATATTTTTTATAATTTATAGGAAACTACTCCGCAACTAAGTTATAATTGTAACTCTGTGTCATGTGTACATCTATCGATCAATACATATCGAGCTCGACAAAAATGCAATTCATGCCAAGTAATGGTTACCTCCTTGTAACACTAGGGACACCGTTAAAAGGAACATACCTACTGAATATAAATCATGCAATACTTGGGTTATGAAAGCACGTAACCAACCAAAAATTACATTTTTAAAGAAATCAATTTGCAATCAGTAGAACCAAACCAAACGCCCCTTTAGACGACTGGCAAACAATGTAATGTTTTCAGAGTTCATTCTGTGTAGATGAAATTTCATTCAAAATGTTGCTTTTTAATTTTTATTTATATAAAAGCTTTTACGTATATATAACTAAAAACGTCGTATATATTTTCAATAAATATCGGAATTGCGAAATGCGCTGTTAATTCATGGTAGATCTAACTTCTAGCTAATATAGATAAATGTTTCTCAACTCACAATAAAAAGGAAAAATAGCGAGTACTCCGTAACCCTAAGTCGTTAATCAGATTTGATATATTGTGTTTATCCCTTTATTTCTATAAATTAATAAGATACGGTCTGCTCTATACTACTTTATTATTGTAATGATAATTAATTGCTTAAATTAAATTACACAATTTGTATTTCTAAATGTAGATGAACAATTATTATTTTTCTGGTAAGGACTTAATAGTTTATTTAAAAACTATTTTGAACTAGAGTGAGTAAACGATGACG